TCCTGTTAAAAGCTTTGCACGGATGGAACATGCAAACCAGACCGGACGCTGGCATCCTTCACGCCCCTCTCAAACCCCTCTGTGAAGGAAGCCATCTATGTTAAGAAAGAAAAAAACATCCTTAAACAGTCTCTGACATATCAGAGACATAGACGGGTTTCGCGTATTACACCCAACGAAGAAATCAAACCCTGACCCCCATTCCAAAGGGGCGGACCCGCTTGTCAGGTTTAATTTGCATGTTTTCTAAACAAAAACAAGGCGCTGTTGTGCAACTGGATAAAACCTGGAACTAAACGCTATTTCTGACATTTGGAATTGAAAACATTTCCTGGATGGGAAGAGAAACGTCTTCAAACTTGGAAACAAAGTCCAGTGGATTTTTTTTAAACTTTTTTGGAATGACTGGATGACTGAGAATCTTCACCAAGGCAAGGCAAGGCAAGGCAAATTTAATTGTATAGCACAAATCAGTAAAAAGACAATGCAAAGTGCTTTACATGATTAAAATAGAGGAAGATAAAACAGAATCAAAGCAAGTAGGAAAAACAGTTGGACTAAAGAAAACATGTTTTAGTTGAACTGTTTAACTAGAACAGTGGAAGTCAATCCTAAACAAACGTTTTTTTAGTCTTGATCTTGACCAGCTCTATTTTCCATAAGGTTTACTCATCGTTTTATTTACTGTTGCACAAAGTCACAGTGTCATGTGAAGATCCCATTTCTAGGGCCTGACAGACATCTCTCACCTTAGGCATCCGGTTGTGTTGGTGAATATTTCGTCCACAGATGGAGAACTTGTGTGGTTCGGCGTGTAATCCTCGCTCTCGTGCTTCAGCTGCTCCTCTCGCTCAGCAGCAGGAACGAGGATCTTCTCAGAGAGCCCGCTAAGTGTCTCCTTGGCTATAATCTCCTTAAACTTGTCTTTGGAGGAGAGATTCCACAGAATACCTGTAGGAAAAAGACGATTAACATATATGTGTATGCATGTGTGTAAAAATCAATGTCTAGAACAAAAATAAGAAGCTTAATTTAACACGATCTCTGGCTCACTGATTAGCTAAACCTTTATTATGCAAGTTCCATCCTGCCCTTTAGATCTACTTCCATTCAGACTGCTTCTGCTTTACATGTCCTAGTTTTCCTCTCCAGGTCATTTTATTTTTGGGATTTTTCTCCTCAGACCTGAAAAACTTCTCCGATAAAGGTGAACATATACTGACGCTTTATCAGTTTCACTAAGCTTTATGGTGAACTCTGGACTCGGGTGTAACTGATAAAAGTGAAAATGAACAAGGACTTCTTTCATAAGAGAGCACACACACACACACACACACACACACACACACACACACACACACACACACACACACAAAGCCTATAGGTATGACAGCCCCTCCTCCTCTACACTTTCATTGTCTTTCGTTTCTTCCCCATAATATCAGTTTCAAAGGCTGCCTTCAAGGATGAAGATGCTTGCTTTAAATTTGACCTCTTGTTTTTGGAACCTTTATTGTTTAGTTTGAAAGGAAGCAGCTCTCAAATTGGCCTGCTGTGTTTATAAAATAATAATAATAAAGATATTTTCTGACCAAGACAGGCATTAAAAAAGCTTTGGTGATTTAAAAAAAATATTATCTGGTATCGTTTTGGGGACCAAACACCTTCAGGATCACGAGTTGGCTGCTAGCAATGCTAAGCTAAAGCATTCTCTTTGAAGCTACCAATTTGTGCAAAATGAAAAAGCTTTTGTTTTATTGATTCTTCTACGCTTTGATCAACTTTAAGTAAAACTATATCACTTTAATAGGATTATTTGAGAGTAAATAAATTCTTTTGAATGTTTTTTTTCTATTAATTAAAATATGTATTCTGTTTTGAATTCACAAAAAGTGTTGTTTTTTTGTTACGATAAGCATAACTGCCACCATATGGTTGCAACAACATTAAGATATGTCTGATCTTGGAAGGAAAACATCAACCATATTAGAGGACTTGCATTAAAAACTTATTACAAAAATATGCAGATTTTTTTTTTTTTTTTATTCAATCAATGATCTAGATCAGGAGTAACCAATTAAAAGAGTCCGAATAAAGAAAATCATTAACCAGTAAAGGTCAGGGGACATTTTTAATTATAATCTG